CTGCAGCAGGGGCTCCTGACATGTGGAGTCTCAGGCCCCCCTGCTCTCCCCACTGCACAAACTCCCTCACAAACTCTGGTGTGCTCCTGAAGAGCGCGCCTGTTTGCCTGGCCTGTTTGCCCAGCTCAGGAGTGCAGCTCCCAGCTGGCGCCACTAAGTAGGGAAGGAAGGGGAAAAAAACCCCTTCCTGATTCCCTACAGCTGGCCTGGCTCCTCCTTGCCCTTCCCTGCCTTGCCCACTTACCTTTCTGCAGTGGCTCCTCTCTGCTGGTCCTGCTGCTCTGCTCGGTGGGATCAGTGGGAAGCCGAGGGCTCACGTGTGCTGCTGCACACGTGTGCCTACTCCAGCAATTGGGCCCGACTGGGGCTGGTTTGAAAGTTCACATGCTTTTACAGTTGCCGATCAGCTGTTCTGTGTAGGTGTGGCTAGCCCTGTGCCTGCTCAGAAGAGTCTGCCGACAACCCTCGCCTTCCTCCACCTGGAGCCCTTGGTGAGTGGTTTCCCCCCCACCAGGGGTCAATTGCCTTCCCTGGCTGCCCCCACACCCACTCTCTTACAAACTCTGGTGTGCTCCTGAAGAGCGTGCCTGTCTGCCTGGCCTGTTCACCCAGCTCGGGAGCGCAGCTCCCAGCTGGCGCTGCTAAGTAGGGATGGGAGGGGAAAAAAGCCCCTTCCCGATTTCCCTACAGCTGGCCTGACTCCTCCTTGCCCTTCCCCCCCTTGCCCACTTACCTTTCTGCGGTGGCTCCTCTCTGCTGGTCCCGCCGCTCCACTTGGTGGGGTCGGTGGGAAGCCGAGGGCTCGTGTGCTGCTGCACACGTGTGCCTACTCTGGCAACCGGGCCCAATCAGTGAGACTAATCCTGTGTCAAATCCTAATTTATTGAACACATATAAGCAATACTGATATTTAAGCAAGGCTTTAAATGCAGTAACCAACTTCTGAGTGAGCCTTAGAAGTTAATATAGATATTCTTACGTGCGTCTTCTGATGAATATAGTGATTTCAGCTGGCCAGGCATCTGTCACAGCACTGGGGTTCAAGTACTTGTTTCTTTTCCTGTGTATTGCTCTCCCCCAATTTTAAGTTGTTTTTTTTTTCCCTTAGGTTTTTATATATTTTTTACAGTTCTCTTCTGTATGTCCCATATATGGTTATGTCATAAATATTCACCAATTACCTTTTACAGTAGTCATCTTCCTGTCAGACTGCTGTCCGCACCCTGTTGTCTCAGATAGATAAATACAACCTCTTTTAACTTTCTTGCTGACACAGTTGATACCATGGGCTGGCAATTATTTCAGGCAGAGGGCTACTTACTGAGCTTTGGCAAGCTGTCGGGGGCTGCATGGGAAGCCGCACCCCTTGATAGGTGCTCCCGCCCCCTGGTTGCCATCTAGTGACCGGAGGTCCCTCCCCTTGCCCTCGCAAGTACTCGTTTCAGCAAGGGGCTTTCCCATCTTGGAACCAGAAAAATACCAAATTATATTCTAAAAAGCAAACATCTACAGCATTCATTAATTTGATTTAAAAAAATACTTTTGTCCTGATTTACACGTGTTTGTGTAGTGTATATAGAGGTGATTGCACAATATTTAAAAGAGTAAGACTTCATTTTAATATTGTAGGGGGTGTGTATAGGTTTGTGGGGGGTTATGGGTGTGTAGATGTGTGGGGTGTGGGTGGGTATGGGGTTTGTGGGAGAGGGTTGCTGGGATGTATGAGGGGGTGTAGGGGTCTGCAAGTATGACAGTGTGAGGGGGATGTGAGTGCATGTGTATGGTGGGGTGCGCGTGTGGGACTTACCATATGAACACACGCGCGCACACACACACACACACACACACACACACACGTACACTCTACCTGTGCCTGCAAACAGATACACTGCCCCTACCTACATACACATACACATGTGCGATGCAGCCAGGAGCCACATGGTGCCAGAGCAGGGCAAGGGCAGGAAGAGAGTGAAATGGCTGTGGTTGGGTGAGGCTGGGTTGCTCAGTTCTGCTGAGGACTCCCCCTGGGTCTTACTGCCCCTGGCTCCTGTCAGCTTTGACAGGCAACCAGGAACAAATACTACTTTAATAATTTTTTGGGGGATCCCACAGGCCAGATAGAATGGCCTGGTGGGCTGGATTTGGCTTGCGTGCTATATTTTGTCCACCCCTGGTTTATACAGAGGTCACCCTAAACTGTGACCCAATTGCTTTGCTTTTAGTTAGAAGCATTAGTTATATCAAGGCACAAAATGATGTTGCTTATGCCCAGCAGTTTGCTAAGGTGGCTTTTAGGCCTACAACTGTGGGTATTTATCTCTCTCAAAACCCTTCTTTAAAGCTCCAGTCATCATACAGACTAGCAGTCTAGACAAATGGAGTGAGAATGTTTGCCTTTCTCCCTCTCCTACTAAGACAGTAATCATTTTCAATGTCCTGCTACTGCTGATGGCTCAGAGATTTCCATTCCTTATGCACCAGATTGCTGGTTATCAGACTTTCAAGGTAAATGGCAGACTTTTGCTTAATGTAGTACTGAGATTGAGTTGCTGTTTATCAGAATTTATCTTGTGCAATATATAGGGAAGTCTAATTTAAAGTTTGCTACATAACTGCTCACTTGTACAAACTTAAAAAAATACAATCCAAGTAAATCAACTACTTCTTTCACTTTCTTGCAAGAAATCTTTGCCTATTTTTGGCATGTCTGGAGTGCCATGCTGGGAGTGCCCATCACTCCAGCATTTGAGGAACTGCTCTCTGCTTTCTCTTAAAGACCAGTGAAATGAAACAGTAAAACCTCCATTTTATAAGTATGGATTTAATGTTTTTCTAAGCATTTTACAATAGGCAAATTTCAGCTCCTATTATTGCATGCATCTTCTTAAATAAGATCATTGGTGAATGTAGTAATAGTGGAAGTTGAGTAATTATGGGAGACTTTAATGTCTCTGATATCAATTTGGTAACAAATGTGACCAGTAAAGTAGAACAAAGATACTTTGGAATAAGATGGGCAACAGATTCCTTTGTCATAGGGGTGCTAAATCAATGAGAGGTGATGTTATTTTTAGATTTGGTTTTAGCAAGTAGCATCAGTCTTATAGAAGAGCTTGCTGTGGAAAATAATCTTGAATCAAGCCTTCATAAACTGATTCCGTTCAACTTAAATACTATATCGAATCTAAGATGACCCTGAATATCATAGAGTCATAGAAGTAGGGTCGGAAGGAACCTTGTAGATCTTCAAGTCCGACCCCCCGCCTGGACAGGAGAAAAGCTGGACTCAAATGAGTCCAGCCAGGTAGGCATCAAGCCTCTTCTTAAAGACCCCCAGGGTAGGAGCCAGCACCACTTCCCTTGGAAGTTGGTTCCAGCTCCTAGCCGCCCTAACTGTGAAGTAGTTCTTGCGGCTGTCTAATCTAAACCTAGGTTAGATGTGTGATGGTCATCGGGCATCTGTGTCAGGACAGGTGTGTCCTTCGGCAGCTGCATCCGTGACTGAGCAGTCCTTTTAAGGAGGACCCCAGCAGATGGAATGAGGAGCCCAAGCCCCAGGAATGGAGGGACTCTGGGGAGCTCTGTCAAGGGAAACAGTCCCCCAGGACGCTCAGGAGCAGAGGCACCGGACGGCTGATCCATCTGAATGCCCATTAGGTGGAAAGGAGGGTAAAGTCCTCAGCAAGACTGTGGGCACCTGGGAGACAAGATCCCAGGAGCCTGTCAGTGGACACTGACTTCTTAAGTTTAGTTCTGATCCTAAGTTGCAGTTAATCCCAAACCGGGGCATGTTGCCCAGGCTTCAGTCTGAAGGCTAAGGATGACCTGGGAGGAGGGACGGCCAGGAAGATCCGACCCTTGGAGGGGGGCAGAGTAGATGAAGCGGGATCACCCCAGTGCAAGACCTACGGAAGAGCAGAGTCCATTCCCAGCCGTGGATGTGATGAGGGTGGGGTAAAGAGGAGGTTGGAGCCCCATGGAGAAAGCCCAGGGTCGAGATCCTCTCGGGTCACCTACAGGGAACTGCCTCTCTAGAGAACAACACCGAACATCAAAAACATAGCAGATGAGTAGGAGCAGCACCTGAACCATCTAGCTGGCACTGAATTCAGATTTCATCCTGATGTCACTGGGGGGGCAAGGCACCATCCAAAAAGGGGCCAAAATCCTATAACACCTACCAGCGACAGGGTGTCAATAAAAGGCTGATGACTCTTCACCTGCACTTCAGCCAAAACCAATGCGTCACTGTCATCAGCACGTATGCTCCAACTCTGGATTCCAATGAGAAAGTCAAGGAAAAGTTCTACTCTGATCTCAACAACACCCTTGCCTTCATCCCCAGGAATGACAAGATCATTCTCCTGGGCAACTTCAATGCCTGGGTTGGACGTGACGATGAAATCTGGAGCGGAACTATTGGCAAGAATGGCATAGAGAAGGCCAATGCCAATGGTATCCTACTCCTGACCAAATATGCCCAACATGGCCTGGTCATGACGAACACCGTCTTCTGCCAGAAAGACTGGCTCAAGACCATGTGGAGGTATCCAATGTCGGAGCACTGGCATCTCTTGGATTCATCATTGTCTGAGGGAGAGACCTGAGGGATGTGTTTGTCATGAGGGCCATGAAGGGATCTGAAGACTGCTGGACAGACCACCGACTTGTGCACTCAGTGATGAACATCCAGCTGGTGCCAAGACACTGGAAGACCCAGAAGGCCGTCTGGAGATGGCTGAATGTCACAGCTCTGAAGGACCCTGGACAGTGGGAGGAGTTCCAAGCCCAATTGTATAGTGCACTGGGGAAAGTCTACTGCTGATGACATCTCAATCCAGGCAGACTGGGAGCAACTCAAGTCTGCTGTCCAAGATGCCTGCGCCTAGACTACTGGGTTTGCATCGCAACAGAACCAGGACTGGTTTGATGCCAGTGATGCTCAGATCCATGATCTCCTCAAGCAGAAGTGTGCAGCCTTCATCACCTGGCAAAGCCATTCATGAACTTGGCAAAAGATGGCAGTGTACCAGCAGCTGAAGGCTGAGGTCCAGCAATGCATCTGTGACATGAAGAACACCTGGTGGGTGGAGAAGGCATACATGATCCAGGGCTATGCCAACCAGCATGACATATGTAACTTTTTCCAGGGTACCAAGACAACCTATGGACCCTGCTCCATTGGACAAAACCCACTCTGATCACAGGATGGCTCCTAGCTCCTCAAGGACAATGATGCCATCTATCTGCATTGAAAGGAGCATTTCAAACTCCTCCTTAACCAGGAGTCCACCATATCAGAGGAGACCCTCCAAACCACCCCACAATGCCCTGTGGTGGATTCCCTTGGTTATCCACCAAACATCAGAGAGCTGAAGTGGGCCATCCAACAGATGAAAACCAACAAATTCTGTGGGCCAAATGGTGTACCTGCAGAAGTCTACCATGCTGGTGGCTTCTGGCTCACATCATGACTCCACCAGCTTATCACCTGCCTTTGGGATGAAGAGGATATCCCCAGGGATCTCAAGAATGCAACCATTGTGACCATCTACAAGAAGGGGGACAGATCTGACTGTGGGAACTACAGGGGGATTTCCCTCCTGTACATTGTGGGTAAGATCCTGGCTCCCATCCTCCTGAATCACCTTTGTCCCATTGCCAAGGAGATCCTTCTGGAAACGCAGTGCAGCTTCTGACCATCCTGGGGCACTGCGGACATGGTTTTCATTGCCAGGCAGATCCAAGAAAAATGTTGGGAGCAAAATCAAGAACTGTTCCTTGCCTTCATTGACCTGACCAAGGCGTTTGAGTCCTTAAATCGTGAAGCTCTGGGGACCATCCTCCAAAGCCTTGGCTGCCCTCTGAAGTTTGTCACCATGCTGAGGCTCCTGCATGATGATATGACCACCACTTTCCTGAGTGGAAGATCTGAAACAGACGCCTTCCATATCCGGACCGGGGTCAAATAAGGTTGCGTGATCACCCCCACCCTGTTCATCATCTACCTGACCATCATCATTCACTTCATCCGAGATGATCTACCATCCGGCGTCAGTATCCAGTATTGACTGGATGGGAAACTTTTCAGTCTTGGGTGCTTCTGGCCAAAAACAAAACTCACCACCAAGGACATCCATGACCTTCATTTTGCAGATGATTGCTGTGTGATGGCTCACTCTGCACAGGATGTGCAAGCAACCTTAGATCTCATCAACCCTTCATATAAGATACTTGGCCTGTCCTTGAATATCACCCAGATGAAGGTTCTCCACCAACCCTCCCCAGGCCAGCTGAACATCCCTTGCACTATCTACGTAGATGGGAGGCTCTAGAATATGTAGAGCGCTTTCTGTATCTTGGCAGCCACCTCTCTTAATGGGCTACCATTGATGAAGAAGTCCAGCACTGGGTCAGCTGCACCAGTGCTGCCTTATTCAAGCTGTGACAACATGTCTTTGAAAATAGAGACCATTGGAAGTTGATGAAAGTCTTGGTTTACAAGGCTAGTATGCTGACCATCCTTCTCTACTGCAGTGAAACCTAGACCAGCTACTGATGCCACATTAAGACCCTTGAGCTTTCACCAGTGGTGCTTGCATTGAATCCTGGGGATCAAGGGATGACCGCCAGATTAGTGTGAGTGTCTTCCATGAAGCTGTTTCCACCAGCATCAAAGCCTTGCTCTTGAGAAATCAGCTCCGATGAATGGACCACTGTGTCCGGATGTCCGAGAACCACCTTTCTCACCAGATTCTCTTTTCCCAGCTCTCTATTGGCCAACGCTCAAAGGGCGGCCAAGGAAATGGACACACTCAAGGTTGCCCTCGAGCACAGACACATCAACACCAATGGCTGGGAGGAGCAAGC